AAGCCAGGAGCCTCTTCCGGGTCTCCCACATGGGTGCAGGTTCCCAAAGCTTTGGGCCGTCCTCGACTGCTTTCCCGGGCCACAGGCAGGGAGCTGGATGGGAAGCAGGGCTGCCGGCATAGAACTGGCGCCCACATGGGATCCCGGGCATGCAAGGTGAGGACCCCAACCACTGCGCCACCGCGCCGGGCCCTTATTTTTTAATTTAAATCAAGCAGAATTGGGGAAAAAGGCTTACTTTTAAAGAAAAACCAGCTTTTAAAAAGAAGCTTGAGTATAATTACATGCAAAAACAACACTAGAAACAAAATTTGACAAAGAACCTGCTCTGTAGAAACATTTTTCAGTGTAACATACCTAAAATACTAACTTGACTGTAAAACAACAAAATTGATGCTACACTTTATGATTATTTATTTTCATTTATTCTATTTGAAAGGCAAAGAGCCAGGGAAGCTTGCATTCGCTGATTCATTCCACAAATGACCAAAACAGCTGGGACTGGCTAGGCCAAAGACAAGAGCTCAGCGCTCGTCCCAGATCTTCCACAAGACGGGTAGATACCCAACTATCTGAGCCATCCATCATCCACTGTCTCCTAGCATGTGTATTAGCAGGAAGCTGGAAGTAAAGGCAGGGACAGGATTCAAACTCAAATGCTGCAACATGGGGTGTAGGCATTTCAAGAGACAGCTTAAGCATTGAGCAAAATGCCTGTCCCAACAAGAAAATGTCAACAGGTTATTTAGAGTACTTTCTTAAAATAGCTCACACCTTAAAGTTAGTATCAAAGCAAGGAACCCATTCGTTTAGGAATGAGGATACCAGACTCCAAGAGAAGGAAGTGTCTGCTGATAGCAAAGCAAGTTTCTTTGCTACAACTAACAATATAAAAGGTTCCAGTGAGTATGTCTTTATGCATAGTATGGTCTCAAAAACTTTTGTTGAAAAAAAACTAAAGGTAAACATCTTAATTATGTTTAAACAAAGATTTGCAAGCAAAGCCTCACTGGTTTACAATTCACAGATCACGTTAAAATGTACATTTTCCTTAGAAATGCTTTCTCTTCTAAGAACACTAACAGGTGTATAAGAGACACTACAAAGTTCAGCCATTCAACATGGACTACAGAACAGAAGCTATTTTAGTCATCTTGGATACACCAATGTAGAAAATAAATATACTTAAGACACGATCATTACTGTGTAAAACTGTTAAGGAAATCACACATCACTCTTTTTCTCATTGAGCTTCGTCTAAAAACATTCTTAAACCACCTTTAGTTATTATCACACTTTAAACAAAGACAAAAATGTATTGTTGGAGCATGTCTTTTCAGTTATTCCAGGAAGCAGCAATGTACCACAGCAGGTAAAGCTGCCACCTGGGCTCTGCTATGTGTCCTGGCTGCTCCATTTCCAATCCAGCTTCCTGCTAACGGACTAGGAAAAACAGCCAGAGATGTCTCAACTGTTTGGGTTCCTGCACTCAGGTGGAAGACCTGGAAGAAGCTCCTGGCTCCTGACTCAGACCTGACTCAGACCTGTCTCAGGCCTGCTATTGTGCCCATTTGGAGAGTTTACCAATAGCTCGTCTGTTTCCATTTAAACAAATCATTAAGGAAAAAAAAGTATTCCACAGCAATTAATTCACAATTCATTTCAAACTGAACCACTCACATTTATCTTTTTTCAAAAATACTTGAAATTATTCGGAACAGGAAAGAATCATTAACAAATCAATTAAAACCCTGAGGGCTACTCAAAACTTCACACCTGAAACAGGCACTCAACATCACCAAAGCTGCGTGACAGTGCGTGCGCTCTCTCTCTCTCTCTCTCTCTCTCCCCCTCTCTCTCTCTCTCTCTCTCTCTCACACACACACACACACACACACACACACACACACACACACACACGCGCTGATGTGATACTGCTCTCTGTAACCACTGTTGTCAACTAGGGAACAATTTGTGCACCCACATTTTCTTGTTCCTAAGTTTGAGGTCTATACCGACAGTGACTAACCCAAATGGATACAGAGGCCAAATTTAGAGAAATAAAAATCTTCCTTCAGCCTAGGCTAAATGGGCTGATCACACAAAGACCTCCACACATCCTTAAGTACACAGATGTCTGCCCTAGTTCCCAGGGCTCCAACAGTGCCAGTCATTCAGCAGCCTTCCTTGTCCATAACTCAGTGAGGGTCCCTCAGCTCCTCATAAAGCCGGGGCCCGCGAGCACAGCTGCTCTTTCCAGCACTAGTTTCATGTATTTTGTCTAAAAAACAAACTTCCTATTTCCCCAAAAAATAAATCCGGATATCATCTCTTCTGCTTAACAAGTGATGTACTCCACCTATAATTACTAAAAAATCACAATTCATGAAAATAATCTAAGATCATTAACACTGAAAGACAGTCTGACAATGTACTTTTTTTTTTAAAGATTTATTTTTATTATTTTTTCATTGGAAAGGCCGATCTACAGAGAGGAGAGACAGAGAGGAAGATCTTCCGTCCGATGATTCACTCCCCAAGTGAGTGCAACGGGCCGATACTATGCCGATCCGAAGCCAGGAGCCTCCTCCGGGTCTCCCACGCAGGTGCAGGGTCCCAAAGCTTTGGGCCGTCCTCCACTGCTTTCCCGGGCCACAGGCAGGGAGCTGGAAGGGAAGCGGGGCTGCCGGGATTAGAACCGGCGCCCATATGGGATCCCGGGCGTGCAAGGCGAGGACCTTTAACCACTTGCGCCACCGCGCTGGGCCCGACAATGTACTTTTAAATGCACAAATTGAAAATGCAACTTTATATATACTCCACCTTGCTAATTTGCAAATGTACATCATTTAACTAAACTATGCTTCCGTTTATGTAAATTTTAAATCAGTAGCTTGATAACAAAACAGCTTTTTAATTTTTTAAATGCTAACAGTGGGGGAGAGTAAATTTATTTGTCTATTTCTACATTAATCACAAACACTAAAAGTAACTACTAAAGTATTTTCCTGTGTGTCTGACCAAACTTTTACTCCTCAAAATAAAGATAACATTCACACTCAACTAATCTTAGAAACCTAATAGCAAGGCACATTCTCTCATTAAACAGAGAAGTGGTACGGATAAATTAAAGTCACAGGAACTTAATATACTCTTTAAGTGGACAGCAAACTCAATTCTCTAAGACACTTAGCAAACCTGCTACCCAGAGTGAAGTTCACTCCTTTTAGGAGACAAACTAGGATCCTTAGTTTATTCACTAAATTATTAGATCCTAAATAGTAAAGACATGTGTGTGTTTGGCTCCTTTCAATACGCATTATCACATCATCATTATCCCTGACAGAGCTATCATCGAGGTGCTGTTTCAGAACTGTGGTAACTGAGCCATTTATACATGCATTCTCCGTGGCCCCTCTGGCTCATTTACCAAGCCTCACCTCTCTCCACAGGTCCTACAGGAGGCAAACAAGCATGCTGTGAAGGAAAAGCTGCCTCTCTCAAACGCGTCCTTAAAGAGACAGTGAACTCGTAAGGCTCACGCCCTCTCTCCCGGAGTAAAGGCAGGGCTCTGAACATGCTCATCATTTAATAGATGCACAGGTGAACTTCAATCATCATTCCTAGAGAGGCAAGACTGAGCTTGTCAAGAAGAAATAATAAAAGAACTATTTAGTATTCATTCCCTAGTGACCACTGAACTGAATATACACACATAGCATGTGTTCTTCAGAGCAGTGACTTCAGAAACATTTCAATACTTAAGACACGTAAACTCTGTCAGCAAAACACAAACATCATTTCTCAAAAATATCTGAAAGATACTGCATGATTCTTCCATCAGCACAACTTAGCACACACCAACACCTGATACCTTGTCCTCGGAACGCCTGACCCGCCCCTACCACCACAGCCACTGCAACATTTTTCTGTCACTTCATTAACAGACTTATTAGATGACTTCAATAGATAACCGCTTAATTCTGCTTAAAAAAAAAAAAAGAAAGAAAGAAAGAAAAAGAAAAAACAACACTGTCTGTCCCGTCCAGAACACTGCCAGGTTTCACTGCACTACTCGCCAAAGCATTCCTTTACAGTCAAATTTTTTTTCCCATTTTTTTTATAACAGCAACTTTTGTAACCCTTGTGGCCAAAGCAAGCCTAAAACAAGGAACACATTCACAAAACTGTATTACTTTCCCCCCCCTCAAAAGTTCTACCTTATACATAACATTAATACACTCGCTCCTATAAGTGAAATGAGTTTTATGGCATTTCAATATATGTAAAAGTCAAAGGAAACAAAATATTAAGACAGATTATGGGTTTTGCAATATAAGTGAGTGATTTCAGGCTAATGTTCAGTTAGCTGTACCTAGCCGTGACACACTCCAGTGTCACAACTGATTCACAACGGGACGCAGGACTGAGACATAACAGCAGCAGAGACCATGGGGGCCAGCTCGCATTTAGTAATGGGGTTTATGCAGAGCCTTCGATGTTTCTTCTCTTTGAAAACCAAACCTTCATTCAAATATATGTGTAGCTAGCCAGAAATGAATTAACAATTTTCTTTTTCATTTAACACTGACTTTAGGAACATCTCAGAGTTTAATACAAAACACACCAATATTGCGAAATGATTGTGCATATAAAAGTGGTAATAAGATCTAAAATATTTTCTCATCTTGAGCTCTAAGACTTCCTTCCTCTCATTCTCCCTTTCAATTATCCTCTCAGAATTACAAAAAAGAGAGACAAGAAAGCAAAAACCTAAAAAGGTGATCGTCCTAGTGCTACTAAAAACGCACAAATCTGTACTGAGAGATCTGACTTTAAGAATACAACCCTACCTTCCATGTTCACATCCACTTAACAGACAAGCCTGAGAGCCTACATCGCTCTCACCTCTCTTTTCTCTGGAGGGTTGTGCACACGCAGGCCACGGCTGGGGAACCAGGGAAAGGAGAGGCAATGACCTCTGGACATGATCAACTTACCCACTTGAAGGATCTAAGGCAATAGCTCTGGGCTGATCCAACTCTTGCCAAAACAAAACTTTTCGTAAAGATCCGTCTAAATTAGAAACTTCAATCCGATTAGTTTCAGAGTCTGTCCAGTATAATTTTTCTCCGAGCCAATCACATGCCAGCCCATCAGGGGACAACAATCCGGAAACGACGACATTCTGCACACTCTCAGTTTTGTTAAACTCTGTTCGTTTAATGGCTTCTTCACTGACATCACTCCAGTATATCAAGCCGTGACCAAACACAAAGTCCACTGCAGCTGCGTCCTCCAAGCCTCCAACTACAATTGTAGCATTCTCTCTGCCATTTGTGGCATCAACCAACCGCAAGTCCCGCCTGTTTGCATAAAGCAACAAAGGCGCAGCTAGAACAAAAAAGAGAAACATGTAAGTAAAAACGAAGACATTGTTTTGTTTCTAATAATAACTTACGTTTCAATTCAGCAGTCATGAGCAAATAATGAAAAAACAAGAGTTAAGTCAATAAAACAAATACAAAATGCTATTTTTTTTTTGCAGCATCTTAAAAACAAAACATAGCAAGAAACAGGAAATTATTTTCACCAGGACAGTCTGTTACAACTGCCTGTATGATGAAATTTTAAAAATTTTGGTAGTATCAAGAATCGGCGGGCCCAGCAGCGTGGCCTAGCAGCTAAAGTCCTCACCTCGAACCCGCTCCAGGATCCCATATGGGCGCTGGTTCTAATCCCGGCAGCTCCACTTCCCATTCAGCTCCCTGCTTGTGGCCTGGGAAAGCAGTCGAGGACGGCCCAAAGCTTTGGGACCCTGCACCCATGTGGGAGACCCGGAAGAGGTTCCTGGTTCCCAGCTTCGGATCGGCATAGCATCAGCCGTTGTGCTCACTTGGGGAGTGAATCATCGGATGGAAGATCTTCCTCTCTGTCTCTCCTCCCCTCTGTATATCTGACTTTGTAATAAAAATAAATAAATCTTTAAAAACAACAACAAAAAAATTTAACCAGGACAAGGCTATTTGTAAGTCCTCATCAGCCAACAACAGACAATTCCCCTAATCTTACCGGCATGCTCTGGAGCAATCTTCAACTCTGCCCTTTTCCTGCAGACATGCAATTACTCTCTTTTTCAGCAGGTCTTTAAATCCACCTCTTCTCCATTTTAAGAATCTCTATGTGACTCTAGATTTAATCTCACATCTAGGTAACAAAGTTAACTACTAATGTTGACATTCCTTTTCCTATTTCCATATATACTTGCACTTCATCCAACTCATAAAGCTTGCTTCCCCTTCCCTAAAAGATAAAGCCTTAATGGTATCTCAGCCCTCCCTCCTGACTTCTACCTACGACCCTTTATCACCTCGACTTCATACAAACAAGTTTTTACCACACTGTAACATATCACCACACGCTTGTCCATCACTGAAGGCTTACACAAGAGACAATTCCTTCCTCAACTCCCCAACGTTCTGATATCTGATTTCAGTATCTAGCAGAGAGGGCTCTCAGTCAAACATTCCTTCTCTCTCCTGACTATAGGCTTCACCATTACAACTCTAACTCGGCAACTTCAAAAACACCCCAACTGTGTCTAACAATAACTTAGGACTTCAATGTCCCCTTGGGAACCACAAGATCTCAGGATGCCAGCTCACCTGTGCCCCTCCCTTCCCATCTCGGCCTTGTGGTACCTCCCCCTCCCTGGCTGCTCCCCTGATTCCATGATCTGCCCTCCCTCCCTTCTAGCCATCCTATCAGACCTGCCCCTTCCAGAACCAAGCCCTCAATTCCCTGCAGCCACACAGGTTTGGGACTCCCAAGGGACAGGAACCTCAATCTTTCATCTTCCCAGATGAACTCCGGAGATCCTCAGACACTTGTCTTCCTCAATCCCTCACTCAAAATGCAGCCCACATTCCCCAAGAGATGACCGTCAAGCAAGAAAGCCTCACGAATGTGAGTTATGACTTGGACAAGGTGACTGATGAGTGTTATGTGAGACGGTTGAGTTACGCGACTTAGCTCTCACACTGAGCAAATGTGCTTACAGAAAACTACACTTTGATTACTCATAAAAACAACACATTTTCATGGGCTATCTATTAGTCTGTTCTCAACTTACCCCTTCCCCGCCCCCAAAAAAGGTTTTTATTTGCTTTCTAAATACTTTCCCTGAGAGATTCTCTGTCTTGTAAGAATTTTCTAGGCTTGATGTTGACTTTATGTCTTTCCTCTAAAAAGACAAATCATCTCACTTTTGAAAGAGCCAAGTTTCTTTACTGTCATGTTACTTCCCATGTTTACTTTTGAAAATCTTCTTTTCATCACTTCAGTTAAGTATGCAGCCAAGTTTTTTTTCCTCACTGACCCATGATCCTATTTCGCCAAATGCTAAAACTATCTGATACTCTTCAATATTCTCCTCTTTAAAACCAAATCCTTAATGATGCCTTCTGCACCAACATCTGTCTGGGATTCCCCAGAGGGCCCCTAGAAAATCATTTTTTCACCTTATCAAAGATAAACGTTAAAAACAATTGTTTTATTTGATCAAATATTTTATGAATGGCATGGGAAACACTGTCAAATCAAAAGAAATGCTTATTCTTCCTAGGTTAAATTTACACATATAAAATGTTACATTAATATGAATATTTCAGAAGTTGTGTGAAGGTGTGAAATTCCTATACATGTATCACTGTCCTCACTGTCAGGCTAAATTCCTACTGCTAACCGCCCTGGTTCTGCTCCGACGACAGCATCAGTACAGCATCAGCCTAACGTCAGCGGGCTTTGAGACGTTACCTTGCTCACCACCTGACTCCCCTAACGGAGCAGTGTTCTCCAGAGGGGCCAGTGTTCCTCAACTGAAAAGTCATATCACTTCAAACGTACCCATACAGATGTTGCTCAATCTTTATATTTGATACCTTAATATATCCTTGGTAAATTCTATATATTTGATATGTCAATGGCAATAAGTCTCAGAATTATACATACCTTGATTTTTTTCTTGTACAAAGATTACGCTGACCCACAACACCACATGGTATCCTATATCCGAACACATGAGCCTGAGGCCCTGCTCCACTCCTGACTCTAGTGTCCAGCTAATGCAGGGCCTGGGGGGCAGCAGAGACAGCTCAAGCGCTGGAGTCGCTGCCACCTGCCCGGAAGACCCAAGCAGGCATGTGGGAAGTGAACCAGCCAGTGAATGTCTCTGTCCTCCTCTTCCCCTTTCAAATAAATCAGGAGGAGTAAAATAAGACTAATCATTATGCTTACCTTTTGTCTAAAATGTTCATGGAATGACTTGATTTTGGTTTGAAAGCCACAAAAATCACTGAATATCCCTGTCAACTGCATTACTTATCATAACCAATTATCACTGCATATTCTGCTTTTAATGACCAGGTCGACAACCATCATTTGAATTCTTCTGCCATCTACAGATAGCTTTTGCTGCTTCCTTGTTCAAACCGGTTATAAGCCACAGTGCTTGTTTTCAACATAAATCGGCTACTGAAACAGGAAGGTGCTAGGTATCCCTGAGCACAAGCTTCTGAGAGTGTCACTTAAATAACTTGGACAACAAATGAGTAGAGGCACAGCATTGTGGCATACTGGGGCCGCTGCCTGCCGTGCTGACATCCCACACGGACACGGCTTTGTGTCCTGGCTGTTCCACTTCCGACTCAGCGCCCTGTTAATGCGCCTGGGGAAGTAGTGGAGGACAGCACAGCTCCCTGCTATCCTGCACCCAGGCGAGGGGCCTGGAGGAAGCTTCTGGCTCCTGGCTTCAGCCTGCCACCACCCTCACCCCCTCTCTCCTAATCTAAATTCAGATTTGTTTTATTTAAAGTACTATGGAAAAACCAATCACAGCAAACTCCAAAACTACATTCTTTCCTCCATCAAAATAATCAGTCTCATTTTCCAAACCATAAGGCAAAGGTAAAACTAGGTACACAAAAGCACTGCACATAAAATTGCCAGCTAGAGCACCAGAAATCTGACATGAGGTCAGCCATTCATCTTCTCAATTTACGAAACAAAAAAGTGGGACCAGATATGCCTTCCATCTCATTACTTTATCTATGAATGTGGTAAATACCAGCAGAAAGTTAGTTCAACAATTTAACCAGGACAGAGCCCAGCACCGTAGCATAGTGGTTAAAGTCCTCACCTTGCACGCGCCGGGGGATCCCATGGTCGCCAGTTCTAATCCCAGCGGCCCCACTTCCCATTCAGCTGCCTGCCTGGGAAAGCAGTGGAGGACGCCAAAAGCCTTGGGACCCTGCACCCATGTGGGAGACCCGGAAGAAGCTCCCACTTCGGATCAGCTCAGCTCTGGCCGTTGCAGCCACTTGGGGAGTGAATCATCAGATGGAAGATCTTCCTCTCTGTCTCTCCTCCTCTCTGTATATCTACCTTTCCAATAAAAATAAATTTTTAAAAAGAAAAAAAAATTTAACCAGGACAAGGCTAATACAAATAAAGCTGAATGCTGATGAACTACTGAGAGCTTCTCCAGCTAAATAAGGAATTTCAGGAACTTTTTAGTATCGATCTCAGTCATTTTAAAAGATTTCTGAGATTTCAGAAATAGTTTCTCAAAATAAAGATGCCAAAAGTCAAATTCACACCCACTTGAAAGTACTTCATATGCCATGCAACTGAGTATTACTCAGCCACAAACAGCAGGAACTGCTACATGTTACAGCATGGATGAAACTTGAAAACATGCTAAAAAGCCATAGACAAAGGCCACGCATATTCCTGTGAAAAAACCATAAAGGCAGAAAACTGACACACCCCAGAGTTTGGGGGAAGTGGAAATGGGAACGGGTTTTTAAAGGGGTTGGGGTTTTTTGCAGGGCGACAAAGATGATCTCAAATAGGATGGGGTGACAGCCCTATACACATGTTTAAGTACACTCCAAGCCACTAAAATGGAATTGTTAACATTATGGAAGAAATTGGATTTAAAAACACAGACATCCTCAGTATCAAAGCAGAAATGTTCCAACACCATGCCAACACTGGAAACACTGATGTCAACTCCCTGACACACAGCGGGCTGTTACCGCAAACACCTGCATCACCTCTAGCCTCCATCCCTCCTCGGTAACTCTGCCTTTCAAATAACTTAAAAATAAATCTTCAAAAAAAACCAACAAACCACCTCTAGTTTACCCTCAACCCAACAATGTAAAGTGTAAACAGCCATTGTACGATATCGCTTAGGGAATTGCCCAAAGCACTTCTGTACATGTACATTTAGTACAGTTTTTCCCTAGTATTCTCCAGTCAGCACTTAGCTGGTCCATGGGTGTGGAGCCCAGATCGAGGGCAGACTGTACAGAGAAGGCTAACTATATTAT